CTTGGGTGGCTTTAAAGTGCATCTGTTCACTCGCTGTAAGATAGTGTTTTGGTATTTAAGCCATGACTCAACCAGGCCTGGGAAGCAGCCCAACATCATTGCCATGAGCCATTTACACAAATCACACCAAATTCAATGGACACATTTTCTTTCTGTACCTGATGCAACAGTTTTTTGTTGTTGTTTTTAATTATACAGTCTCACACCACTCAAAGTTTGGGGCTGAAGAGTTTGTTCTCCACCCACTGATCACAGGCTCAACTAAGCAGCCTCCCGTGTCAGGCCATGTACGCTTAGAGATGTCTGGGTACACATTTTGGCCCATAAACTCCACCCTTTTGGGGGGGATGGGGAATATTTTCCTCTTTGTCCTAAGAAAGTGGGTACCCTTCCAGTTAGAAAGGCATTCTATAGGGAATAAGGTTCCAGAGATGCAAATCCTCCTTGTAAGAGAAAAGCAATTCTTCCTTGGGGGATACGGGTGGAGGAAAAGAGAAGGAAGAAGTAAAAAAGGAAAGCCCGTGAGAGCTGAATCTATTTCATCCCCACTGTAAATCACATCGATATATTTGGTGAAACTACCACTGAGCATCATTTACAAGGCATTAAGGACAAAGTCCAAAGCAATTATGCCCCCTTCCCCTCCACAGGACAAGACAGGGAGTCCATTTCACATATTCAGAGAGCGGCCTGGTGGGCATCAAGCCTCACCGGTTCTGTCCCCCGCTCTGAACAATGCTTCCTTTTCCACACCAGTTCCACAGGCCCTCAGGGCCTCCCTGCTCCGGCCCTTTCTGGAACCGCGAATTACTCCCAGCATTCAACGTTCCTGCACCTGAAGAGCCTCAGACTCTCTTCCTGGGAAGACCACACCCCGCGTGCCTCTGCTTCAGACGGAGGTGACAGTCCTCACTTTGGCAGAAAGGGCTTGCTTGAACCTCCTCTTCAGGTCCTGCATGTTGGGCGACTTGGGCCTGGGGATGAGGGAGGTTCTTCGCTTCTCAGGCGTGCTGCTCGGCGGCTGCTTGTGACTCACTTCTTTGCACAGGACGTGGAAAGCGTTGTAGACGTCGTTGTAGTTTTCGCTGACGGACACTTCATAGAAGGAGCAGCCCAGCATGCCAGCCAGCTGCAGTCCAAGCTGAGGGTCCACCTGCTTGATGTGGAGCAGGTCAGCTTTGTTGGCCACGACCACCACAGGCAGCCGGGTGCCCAGGTGGAGCTGCTGGACCTGCTGGTGGAGCTGGCCAATGAGTTCATAGCTCTTGTAGTCGGTGATGGAGAAAACGATGACCACAGCGTTGGCCCAGCGAATGCACCTACTCAGCTGTTCGTTGCCGCTCAAGCTGTTCTCATGGACCTGAGAGAGGGGGAACGGCAAGGTGAATGAAGAGAGCCCTGGCTGGGCTGGATAGAGAATTCAAAGAGCCCTTGACAGTAATGCCAGGTCGCAGGCCATAAACAAGTTATATCCCCACACACTTCAGCCTTCTTGACAATATGTTGACCCAGCTGCACGGAGCTGGAATAAATAACAGTGCAGCTCACCACACTCAAGTGGAAAATTGACCTGCAGAGAACTCCATGCAGAGAGACTTTGTAGTTGCATAAAATGGGAAATTAACTGGCTAGACAGTAAGTCTGGAGAAGTAAAGATAGGAGCTGGAAGCATTTAAACCTGGATAACTGCCCAGCTCAAGAGGGAAACACACACACACACTAGCATGGCTCTTTTGTCTGTAGAGGAACTTTCCACAATAAAAAGTGATTCCGAGTATTTGGAGACTATACCTAGATTTTGATTTTGAATGGCAAGGCACAAATGTAAAAAGTGACCTTTTTAACCACAGTCGGAAACCGCCTGTTCCCAGTGAGTTTGGTTTGGTCTTTCCTGCTGGGTAGACTCCTGAGATTTCTGCCCCTCAGCCACGTCTCCCAAATCAAGCCAGGCTAGGACTGACCAACAGCCAGATAGCACTGAAGTGTCACACATGTAAAAGCCTCGACTTGGCTCCCAAATTCCTCGCCTTCGTACTTGGAGAACTGAACAGTTCGACAGTCAAGCCACCTCCCCATCGACCTAGTCACGCATCTCAGAGCTTCTCACCTGAATACCTGGAGTGTCTTGAACCTGAATAGCCAGGGTTTCGCCTTCTATTTGGACTTGTCTGGTGTAGAGGTTACCTATCAGGCAAAAGAAAAAAAAATTATGTCCATCCTTCTTGTGCAACTTTGAAAACATTATGGGATTTTTTAACTTAGAAAATATAACCTGAACCACTGGACAAAAATAAGCTATAGTTTACTAGTTTACCCTAATTAATAGACTTAATTTAGATTTTTTTTTGAAACAACTGTAATTTTAACTCCATATTAGTTGATTTATTAAAACCAGGGCAAAGTTTGCACATTTTTGGAAACTGATTTGGGTTGTTTTAAACAGAATTTCCATATTTAGAGTATTTCCTTGCTCCGCATGTGTGGGGTCTCTATTTTATTTTAGTACTTTATCACTCAGACATATATTTATACTCTAGCTATCAGATACAGTGGCTCGGTAGGCAAACATTGTTAGCAAACGCAGAGCCAACATTACCAACTGAAATAAAAATGTGACATAACCACAGCCACCTCTACATCAAAGCAGAAGGCTGCCATGCCTTATCTTGCCATGGTTTATAGAGCGCATTTCAAATAATCCCCTGTAGGTACTTCAGATGGTCCAAGGAATGAAACAATTTGTTAACAGAACATAGGCTGAAAGCCCTTAAGCCTCCCCAGTGGCCAGTCTTAATCGCAGGGATTGAAACAGTGTCCTCGCGTTTATCCAGGAACTCTCCTAAAATTCTGGCGTGCCGTCTTTTCTCTTTGTTAAGAAAAGAGAACGTTAGTTTACAGCGGCTCTCCGCTGGCCTCTGCTTTAAAAGGTCACCTCTGAAAGGCAGCCCGCAGAGAGGGACGGGTGGGGGAGGAGCTGGCCAACATTTTTTTTTTTTATGACTTTGGCAGGAGTGTTTTGAAGGGAGAGGCTCTTCAGAACAAAGGGTGCTTCCAACTGGGGTCCCCATGGTGGACACATACCAAGGGGCATACTTTCAGGCCCTCGATAAAGTGATGAATGGGCCTGGAGTGGACCGAGGCA